TAAACATTATGGTAGTCATAGGTTAATCGACCATTATAAAATTTCACCATTGTAACAGATACAAGAAAACTATTAACAAAATGCAACAAGAACACATAGATCTATATGGTTCACTAATGATGTATTAGCTATGTCGGGTTATAGTGCCATTGCAGATTTAAGGTATATTCTAAGATTTCTAACACATTTAATATAGTCTCATATTGAACTTATAAGAGCTAAACTTTGTGATAGAGTATATAAATCAATCTTAATTTTCAACCATCAGCTTAACCTTTTTGTTGAGATTGATAGTTCTCTAACATGGTGTCGGAGCTAACGTTATACAAAGGTCACGGGATCTAATCTCATCCACCCCCATATTTAGATGGAATATTTCGCGCTGCATATGAAGGGTCCCATGCCACATCCACATTTTAAGCCCAATGGGCTTTCATGTGAGAGGGCATAATAGAGTATATAAACCAATTATAAGCTTCAACTATTAGCTTAACCTTGTGGTCCTTTAAGACTTTGAATGAACCAAGCTAAAAAAACTAAACTTTTTCGTTAATTGTCAGGTGATCTAATTAAGCACACTACCATATCATTATCATTAATTTAGAGTAAATTGTACTTCTCTCGGTTGCAATATGACGATAAATATTGAGTAAATAACACAAAAGAAGTTGATCAAATCGCCCATTTGAGCAAATTGAAACAAAAGGAATTTGAGATGCAACATACAATAAGAATGGTGACATAATAATAATACCAAAAAAAAAGGAAGAAGGGTTGGAGGTTTTGGGGGTGATAAAGCCCTTTTCTAAGGCTTGCGACTCACATATACATACATACATATATATATATATATATATATATATTATTTTTCTAAGCCATTTTTTTTTTAATTATTATTAAATCTAATATTGGTGATTAGTTGAATTTGATTTAAGCCCTTTTCCACCTTTTTTATTAAAAAAATAAATAAATATAGCAATAGACTTAATCTTAATGGCTCATCAGCCCTATTATCATGGATGATTTTACAGTAGCCTTTTGAAAAGTGACAACCACAAGCCTTATTATTTGGCATAACATGATTGGATGTAATTTGTCATGTAATCTTTGACTTTTCAAAGCATATTTTAATTAGAATTCATTTTTTATAATTTCTTTTTTTTTCAAAAATTATATTTTATAGTTTCTGATTTTTTTTTAATTTCCTAATTAATTTCAGAAAATCAATATAAAAAAATTAAAATTAAAAAAATTGTTCTTCGTTGCTCTGAATTTCAACCGATGATTTGAACACGGCGGCTTCGTGGCGTTGATGTTGTCCACCACCAATATGATGGTTGTTACGGTAAAGCCGATAGCGGAGAGCAGTAGAGCACGCTCCTTCTCAGCCTCACATTTACAAGCTTCGACTTCTTCGTCGCGGCGTTGAGGGAGATGGGCAGATGGCAATATGGGTTGTTATGGTGGTGGTGGAAACGCCATTTAGGGCCGAATTTCGAGCGAGGTAGGGGTTTACCATCGACAAGGCGGAAGGAGGAGTCTTCATTGGCGGCAAGCTGACAAGTGTGGCGGCGAAGGAGGGTTGTTGAGGTTGCGAGTCCAATCAGTGATTCGGCCGAATTTGTTGGAGCGAGAAAAAGGGGCGAAGGGGACGTAGGACATTGCTCGGGATGGTGGTGGTAGATGGTGGTAGATGTCGATTGATTTTAATTATAATTTTAATTTTCTGAAATTAATTAAGAAATTAGAAAAAGAATTTCAGAAATTATAAAATATAATTTTCAAAAATAATAATAATTTTAGAAATTACAAAAATGAATTTTAATTAAAATATATTTTGAAAAGTCAAAGATTACATGACAAAGTATATTAATAAAATTATGCCACATAATAAGACTTATGGTAGTCACTTTTGAAAAGGCTACTGTAACATTTTCATATTATCATAAATAAAAACTCTATTATTTCACCAATATTTGATTATTTTTTAAAGAAGAAAAATATCTCAATAGACGTCATTATTAGCAAAAAAAAAAAAAAAAAAAAAAAAAAAAAAAAAACAACGTCATTTTAAGGGTATTTTCATTTTTACCACCTTCAAATAACCACTTAATTGAATTTACCACCTCCAAAAAAAAAAGATTTACTTTACCACCAACAAAATTTCCAAAAAATCGATTTTACCACCAACTAACGGATTCCGTCCACGAATCCGTTAGTAGGGCCCACCTTTTTGACGTTTCTTCTTCATCTTCCCCGATCTTCCGTGTAAACCAACCAGCAACGAAATCAACTACCTCGGTTGGTCGGAATTTCGTGTGTGACTAAGGAGGGGCCGGAATTTGGTGTGTGGGTTAGGGAGGTGGTCGGAATTAGGTGGTGGTTAGGGTTTTAGGAGTGCGAAATTTGGTGGTGGCTAGGGTTTTTAGAGTGGTCGGAATTAGAAGGGGATTTATGGGTGGTCGGGATTTGGTGGCTGCCAAAAACTAAGAAGCCAAATCACCAACAACAAGGATACAAATCGATTATCATCAACATTTCTACAAACCAAAGCAATTAATCCATTACAATACCCACAAATCGAAACCTCAAAACCAGAAAAAGAATTGGGTAAATCAAACCTTGTCAATCGTTTTTAGCATCAAGCTCAGAACCCCACTTCAATGGAGTCGATTCCAGGTGACTTCCATGGTTGAGGATAAGAAGACGACGGTCAGAGGAGAGAGAATGAGCGAGATGAAGTCTGATTAAATGGGTGTTGTTGATTGATTAAGGAATGCCAAGCCTTGGAAACGCATTTGAAGCGAAGTAGTGATTTAGTGGGTAATCGAAAAGAATGGAGGTGATTAACTCCATTGGAAGAGACGCCATTGTTGTGGTTTTCGAGAAAACAGAGCAAAAAAATAAAGAAAAATTGGTGGAAAGGTGGTTGTGGCTGTGCGGTGCGGTGGTGGGGCTGGTCGCGGTTAGGTGGTGGGGGCTGGTCGTAGCGGTTAGGTGGTGGGGGCTGGTCGTGGCTGGTCGGCGGTGGGGGTCCTGACGGTGGCAGCAACACCGGTTGATTAATGGGGATTTTTTTAATTTTTTTTTAAAACTTACCCAATAATATGGCGACACGTGTGCAAGGTAGGCCCCACTAACGGATTTATGGACGGAATCCGTTAGTTGGAGGTGATTGGTGGTAAAACTGATGTTTTATTTTTTTATGAGGTGGTAAAGTAAATCTTTTTTTTTTTGGAGGTGGTAAATTCGACAAAGTCATTATTTGAAGGTGGTAAAAATGAAAATACCCTCATTTTAATGGTTAAAACCCTCTAAAATATAGATTTAAGTTGTTGAATGCATCATTTTTAGCTGCCTAATAGTTCTAGATATGTAAGATCATGTTTCCTTATCCATTCATGCAAATACGTACGCACATTGCTCAACATGGTAGTTATTGAACCGTGCTCTAAGCACGACTGAGCAAATTAAGGAACATATGCTCCTTGTGATGCGAATTGAAGAAGGCGCGTGAGATTTTTGTGTAACTACATAGCTTGTGCAAAAAAAGTGGTGGAAAAAGAAAGTCAATAATATGAAAAAAGACAGTCTGATGCATACCTTACAACGTACACTTTCGCTTTTTTTAAAAATGAGGGAGGTACAATTAATCTCTGAGATTAACATCTCCTCTCACAACTTTATACATTTATTTTTGTGTCACTTTACTATTTCACTTTTATTATTTTAAAAATAACAATAAAACAATATAGTATGAGAGAAGATATATTTCCATGTTCATTTCAAAGATGAACTTGAATTTTTCCTTAAAAAACAAAAGGATGAAATGCTAAAATATATTTATGGAAGCCGCAAGCCTTAGGATAGGGCTTTGTTGCCCCCAAAATCTCCACCCTTTTTTTCGTTTTGTATAGTGTTTAATTGTCATCATATTTTTTTGTTGCATCTCAAACCTCATTTGTTTTTATTGGCTCATCATATGTACTATTTGATCAACTTGAATAGCTTTTGGTTGGTTTTGGTTTTGGTTTAAATTCTCATCTCTTTCGTGCTTTTCACTCAAAACATAGTGTACGGTTGCAACAGAAAGAAATATAATAAAAGTTTACTCTCAATGAATGATAATAATGAGCTACTTAATTTGCTACTTAACATGGTGTCAACTTAGTAATTATAACAAATATATATATATATATATATATATATATATATATATAATTTCAGTTCAGTAAAAACAATTTCAATTCAATAAAAATCAGTAAACTTAAAAAAGAGATATAATAGAAAATTTGTAAAAATAATTTCAGTTCAGCAAAAATAAGGTGAAGTGAACAGGGCTTAAGTATTGTGACCTAGCTAATAATTAACAATTAAGATCATACATTGGACAAAGCTAAGTTCCCAAATTTACAGTTGTATGTAGTATAATATAATATATCTCGTTTTTTAGCTATTATTACTAAATATATACGGGATAATTTCCCAGATAATGATCTAATCTTAATATGTTGATTCAATTAAATTTATTTGCAATCTTTGTTACAAGTTTATAACACAGAAATCACTTTTAAATTTTTTTTAAAATGAATTCTAATAAATAGATAAACAAAAATGATAGAAGGAAGTATACAAGTAAAACATATGCAGCAATAATTAAAAACATAGCAACCAATAACCAGGCATTTATCTGCCACAAATTAGGAAACTAGTTAGCATATATAGACCAATCATAGTATGGGTCATGGGGAAAATAAGAGGGTTATCGGAATTACATGTCTTGTATTTTTGATATAATAATTCCACTTTATTGTTATATATTTGCATGTAACATTATTGTAACGTACAAATTAAGTATACATTTATGAACTGTCATAAAAATTAAATCCTATAAATACCCTCCACCTTTCCTTAATATCTTCCATCCTCAACACTAAATTCCTTCACTTTATCACTTACAACATTTCTATCTTTTTCTGCTACTAGTTAAGAAAAAGAAAATGAAAACCAAAGTTAAAGTAACGTCATTCTTAACACATATACTTAGAGTTGTTCTCTTTACATTATTCTTAGTCGTAAATCAACAACTCGTAGAAGCTAATGATATTAATTTGGTGAGCCTAGGTGCAAAATCAGACGGGTTAACAGACTCATCAAGTGCATTTACGTCTGCATGGAACATTGCATGCGAGTCACTTAACCCTTCAAAAATTCTTGTACCACAAGGAAGGTACTTGGTCAACTCAGCTTTAGTATTTAATGGGAGGAATTGCAAGAACAAAGCTATAAGCTTTGTCATTAGTGGTACGTTAGTGGCTCCGGCTGACTTTCAAGTGCTCGGAAATGCCGGTACTTGGTTTTCCTTTGATGATGTCACCGGAGTTTCTATCTCTGGCGGGGTCTTTGATGGACAGGGCGCTGGCTTGTGGGCTTGTAAGAGGTTCGGGAAGACTTGTCCCCCGGGAGCTACAGTAAGTGAACCGTTTTATTTTTTTCCTATGAAAATTAATATTTATATGCACCTGAGTGCAAGGTGTACCAAGGTTTTTTTTTTTCATTCTCACTTGATGATTAAATGAACAATAATAATCAAAATGAGCAAATAAAAAAAAAAATCCTTGAATGCACTTTACACTCGATTGTATATAAGAATTTCTCTTCTTTCTATCCTTATCTATGTAGCATGCATATAGCAGTTACTTAAAAGTTGGTTGAGGACCTATGTCATCATTCTTAACTAGCTATTCCAAAAATTGTTAATTTAATAGTTTGAATGATGAATTAGTATTAATGAATCTGTGGTCAATACTAGCTAACTAGTATATATAAAATTTCAATAAATTTTTATTTGTCTATATTACTTATTAAAATGATGTTATAATCTTATTGTTGTTGTTGTTGTTACTAATGTATCACGAATGTTATATTATTGACTTATTGTTAGAGTTGACAAGGTTGGATTATACCTAGCTTATGATCTAATTATTTCTATATTTGTGCAGACAATTCGATTTTCAAATTCGATGAACATCGTGGTGAATGGATTAACGTCATTGAATAGCCAATTGTATCATATTGATTTTGATGGTTGTAAGGAAGTAAAAGTTGAAGGTGTGAAGGTCTCGGCTTCTGGTGCAAGTCCTAACACCGACGGAATTCATGTTCAACAATCGACTGGAGTGACAATCATGAACTCAAAAATAGGCACAGGAGATGATTGTGTGTCCATTGGAGCCGGGACTAGTAATTTGTGGATTGAAAATATCGATTGTGGTCCTGGACATGGAATAAGGTATGTATTGAGATCGATCAAACTCAACCTAGAATATATATTTTCATTTTTTTTTTTTTTTTATTTAAGATGAGTTATTTTGTAGTGATTGTTGGCAAAAACAAGTCTTCTTTACATTTCAAATGCAATAATGTCCTTAATTAAATTGCGCATAAAGCTTTAACATATGTTACATTAAATTTCAGCATCGGGAGTTTAGGAAAGGAGCTAAATGAGCCCGGAGTAGTGAATGTGACAGTCAAGAGTTGTACTTTTGTCGGCACTGAAAACGGAGTGAGGATTAAATCATGGGGAAGGCCAAGCAATGGATTTGTAAGAAATGTTCTCTTTCAATGTCTTACAATGGTTAATGCTCAAAATCCAATCATTATCAATCAAAACTATTGTCCAAAGGAGAAAGGTTGCCCTGGACAAGTAAGAAAACAACAATTTTTTTTTTCCTTATTCGATTGATCATGAAAAACTAGCCATTCATATCTTCTACTATATTAACTTTTGTATTGCCTAAATAATTGATTAGGTTTCAGGAGTAAGAATCAGTGATGTAACGTATCAAGATATTCATGGAACTTCCGGTACACCAATTGCTGTGAAATTTGATTGTAGCTCAGAATATCATTGCACGAATATCAAAGTCGAAGACGTGGTTCTCACCTATAGAGACAAACCAGCTGGGTCATCTTGTATTAATACTGTTGGAAGCACACTCGGTTCTATTGAGCCTAATAGCTGTTTTTAGGGGTTGATATTATGTCATCTTGTATTAATACGTAATTAAAAGTACTTTTTCATCATATTCAGCACCATCAAACTATTGTGCTTAAAATGATAATTATTAACCATATACTTGTATTTTAATTTTGTGATGATATATTGAATAAATAAGGTTATTTGATTTATATATTTTAATATGTTGATATTGGATATAGTATTATTATATTATGGTTCATGTATCACGCTTGATGCACCATAAAATTGGAAGTATAGACAAAATTTGGACTCACATACAGGTGCTCTCCTTGGCATAGAGACTTCTTGTCTAGCTAGCTCCTATTCCAATCTCGTTAGACATAAGAGTTACATCTTCCGTTCTCTTTTATTTGACATGTTTCGTTCTTCATTCATGTTTGCCAACACATAAATACAATAATTAAAATCTCTAATCGTTAATAAGTAAAATAAAATAAAAATAAAAAAGGGGAGGGGGGGTGTAGGTTGATACTTTAAAAATTACATTGAGACAATGATTTAATAATATCTCACATGACTGTATCTCTTTTCTTATAATTATAAAAACAAAAACGAGCGAGTAAATAATAAAAAATGTGAATAGTGTTAAAAGTCAACACGAGTTAATCTAAAAGAACCAAGAAGTTCTCTGGCTAGTGTGCAAATCAAAACATGAGAGAATGGCATACGCAATTTGGTAATTGCAATTGTAGTGGGATCACTTTCTTTTCTGCCCTTTTCTTGATCATATTTTAGAGGTCTTCTCTTCTCAATGGTTGAGTACTCAAGCTACCACAGTCCTCAATTTTTAATAGATGCACTCCCTTTATTTCTGTTAGTTGATAATATTTTGAAACTTTATAATGGAATATTCCAATGACCAATACAAATGCAACTTAATATGAAGTACTTCATTGATAAGTTTGAAAGTCAAACAAATTGTCCCGTGGGATCTTGTTTGAGACACTTTGGTTTATACCTTTTAAATATTGACTTTTTATATAAAATATTTACTTCTTCCATTCCTTTTTAATATTAAGTTAATAACGTTTGAAATTTACACCATTTAACACGTATTTCACTTTTGTAATTTATAAGTTAGAAAAATACAGTCATGTGAGATCTTAAGAGATTTGTCTCAATAAATACTTCCAGAATATCAAATTTTATAATTTTTACTAAATGATATTACATTATACGTAATTAGACAGTATAAAATATGTATTAGCAAGCGTGCGTGAAACTCCTAATTAACTAACGTCACAATTGTTAAAAAGAACATATCAAAGGAAGTATCTAAATACGAGTATATTTTATGTATTATGCATTGAAGATTATTGTGCCAAAAATTGGTGTAAACAATTTAAGGAAACAAAGAGAGTATCATTTTGACTTCTACGCTTACACTATGTCTACCATAAAACAATTTTGGAAAGGGAGGGTTACTATGTATGAATGGCATGCAAAATCTCCTTAAACAAAGTACAAGTTCTTCAAAATGTAGATTAGCATCCAAACTCCTATAAACGGGTTTGGCATAATTACATTAATGTAGATTAACTTACATATAAAGTAAACAATGTGCTTATATTATACATACAAATATAGCACACTTGTGCAAAACATGCATACTATAGGTACATCATGTGCACACTTGTAGCTACAAACAACCCGTTGGCACTATCATACCTTTTGTAGATCCATCGGCATAAGTACATGATGAAACTGATGGTTGGTCTTTGTAGGTGAGCTTTACATTATCTAATATTATGTTTTTACAAGGATGTTCTGAGCTACAATCAAATTTTACGGCGATTTCTGTTGCTGATGATCCGTGAATATCTTGATATATGATATCACTAATTTTCACCCCGGAAACCTGTCGTATAAACAAAATATGTCAAAAACAAATGAATACAAAGTATATGCAAGACATGAATCATAAAATGCCCTTAATATATATGTTTTTACCTTCACCTAAGGACATAAAAAAAATGTAACCATAAATCACTAATTTTTTTTTTTTATATAAGGTGATAAACTTTAATTACCGGATATCAAAATTAAAATAGTGTTTCATGTCTTCATCTATTCGATCATTTTTAAATGCAACTAGTTAACTAAAATTGCTTGAGTTTTTTTTTATTTTCTTTTTTTATCACCCTGTTGCGACTAAAAGTGAGCGGATGGAGGAAAAATATGTTGTTAGAAACTCCTAATACAATGGAGGTATATTATAACAAGATTTGTTAAAGCAAAGCTAAGAAATTAAGGGTATATGGCTCACCTTTCCTGGACATCCTACTTTACTGGGGCAGTAATTTTGGTCAATTAATATAGGATTTTGTACATTAATCATGTTACACTGTTGGAATACAACATTCTTCACAAATCCATTGCTAGGCCTCCCCCAAGACTTGATCCTTACACCATTTTGGGTGCCAACAAATGTAACATTTTTAACGGTCACATTTTGTACGCCCGCCTCATTCATTTCTTTTGCTAAGCTCCCAATGCTGCATGAAAAAAGCACGTCAAATACATATTAGCACTTATTCGAACTTATCTAAACTGGACAACACTTATGTCGCAACATGTATGTAATAGACGTATGATGTAATATTCATAAACATAAAATGGGTTTGAATCCTTGTAAATTACCTGATTCCGTGACCAGGACCACACAAGACATTCTCAATCCAAAGAGCTGATGTGCCGCTGCCCACCGAAACACAATCGTCACCGGTGCTAATCTTGGAGTTCAATATAGTTACACCATTTGAGCTTTGTACGTGAATGCCGTCTGTGTTAGGGCTGTTATTAGGAGCAAGCACTTTCACACTTTGTACTTTCACATTATTGCAACCAATAAACGCAATGTGGAATAATTGACTGTTTAATGACGTCAACCCTCTTATAACAATATTATTGGAGTTTGAGAACGCCAAAATCTGCACAAAAAAAAAAAAAAAAAAAAAAAAACCACAGTATAATAAACCTTTTGTTTTGGAGAAAAAAAATGTCAAGTCATCACAATGCTTTTAACTATGTATTTCATCTGATTCATAATATTTAAATATGTTCCTTTCTCATTTATTTAAAATGCTTTTAACAATTTGACTTTATTCTAGTTTTAGCAAATTATGAACCCTCTACCACCTTACCCCTCTTACACCACAAAATTTACAACTTTTCACTCACTCACCCACTATTTTGCATTTTCGCACATTTTCTCTTTTTATCTATTTTTTTCCCACATTCACATACATTTCTACACACTCGATCACTCCTTTGTCTTAATTTATGTACATATTGTAAATGTTAAAAACATTACGAAACATATCGAGTTAATCTAAGAAATATTTCTAACAAATAACTCAATAGCCCTTGAAAGTATTGTCTTCATGTAATATATAATGAAAACAATTATTTAAACTTGCTAGACATTGACCATAGCAATGAAAGAGTAATTCATGTAGCTAGCTTACCGTAGCACCTCCTGGGCAACCACCCTTTCCGGACATCTTGCAATTCCACAAATCAGCACCTTTTCCATCAAACTTCCCTCCAGTTATAGTAACTCCATTCACTGACTCAAATGATAGCCAAATCGCCGAGTCCTTAAGAGCTCGATAATCAGATGGCGCGACAATACTGCCCTTAATATCGATATCAATAGTGGTACTTCTACACTTCCTTCCATCGAATTTAATGGCATTTTGGATTAAGTACCTTCCTTTAGGCACTAGGATTTTCGATTTTCCTAACGAATTACAAGCTTCATTCCATGCCTTAACAAAAGCCTTGGTTGCATCCGTTTTCCCATCGGATTTCGCTCCTAGGCTCTTCACATTGTACGCTGATAAACCTATTATGAATGTAGGGAAAAATATTAATAAGAGTACAAAAAGTTTCAACATTACGGTTATCATTATGCAATAATATTGACTTTTGTATGTAGTTTGTATTCTAGGTATTACTGTAAAAATGTTTAACGTTATATATGGAGTTGAATGATGGAAAAGATGATTTAGTTAAAAATTATCTAGTATTTTATGTTAATTAGTTACTTGTTACAACAAAAGCAAGTAAAGATCACAAGAAATTGTCTATAGATTTAACTGCCACAAGCTAATTAAAAATCATTAAAGTAAGCTACTATAATTAAGATGGAGTAACAAGTTTGATTCCTTTGATTAGCAGAAAAGTGAAAAGGTGTTACATGACATATTAAATGTTGAGAAACAACATTTACGTAAATATGTAACCACTGCAGATATCAATGCAAAAGACTTGTCAAAAATGATAAGGTATAGACGTATAGTAATTCCATGTGACCAGCCAAGTACAATTGATAAGGGAACCTCATAACAAGCTCAAAAACGATATAAAGAATAGGATTATTTTTCGAATGTGTGTCCATGCGCATACAATAATAATATATAATAAACAGATCTATATTAACAAAAATATTAATCTTAAAAAAAGAAGATTCAATTGCTATTTATCACGAGAGGGAAAAAAAAATAAAAAGTTAGTATGCACTCTATAATTATAATTCTTCAAGCTCCACCCTTTTCTTTTTAATTTACACTCTTATTATTATAATAAGGGTTATTTTGATATTTTGACAATGGAAAAATAAAGTGTTACATACGAAATGTGAAGTATGTTTTAATATGTGTCCATGGATACATACTAAATAAACGAGAATAATAACAATATTAATTATAATAGTCCGTACTTAAAGCGGGGAAGGAGGGATGAATCAAGAAACTGGGTGATGCATGAACAGTTGACTTAAAACGTAGATGACAAGAAAAAGAGAATTGCGATAACTCAGGTTAATTTTTATTTTGGTGTTACGTTGTTTAAAGTCAATGCACAATTGCACATGTTATACATAAAAAATTATGCTTTAAGCTTACGTTTTGGTTCCTGCATATGGTTATATGACCAATTGAATTGACAATTTGTATTCTGTTAGGCTTTAATTTAGTATTAGTTTTTTGTTACAAGTTTGTTGGGATTATTCGTTTTTTATGCTTATGCGATGACGATCATGACATACGATTTATGTCATATATATGGTATTATGGTTGCATGCAACTTACGAATTACATTGAATAACTATTACTTGTATCATTTTTTTTGTAAGCAAGTGTGTATGATACAGTACTATTATAGTACTATGAGTACAATCATAATAAATAAGGAAGTATAAAACTTTTGATGAAAACTTGTCGAGCAAAAAAATTAATAGGGAATTTTAATTGCTAATAAAGTGATGAACATAAGTAGTACTCGAGCTCTAAATGATTAGAACGCGCTCATTTTACTGTAAATAACAATCCCATAAATGAGTGCACATGCACCACACACTTCCTTGTATCGAGTTGACTCAACAAGTCAACGAGAATTAAGATTATGTTGTTGCCTTTTGTTATTTTCATTCCTTTGATATTAATTAGGGTGGCTAACGCGCATATTCGGAAAGCTCTTTTGATTAACCTTATGTCATAACTTTAGTTGTTGGTATGATAAATGAGAGAAAATATATAAACAAATATTTTTAGGAGTATAAATGTAATCACACTATTTTGCAGAGTTTCAAAAAAGAGGCAATTAACATTAATGAGGGCAAATAAGTAAATAAATATTTTAGAGGGTATAATCGTCCAAGCATTATTCATAAGAGTTTACTAATTTGCATAGTTCCAAAAATGTAATCACACTATTTTGCAGAGTTCCAAAAATGTAATCACACTATTTTGTTGGTAGGGATGTGACTATGTTCAAATCTAATATTATATCATATCATATCATATCACTAATAAATAAAGCCGGTTTCGCAGCCAGGCCACGAGACAACGACATTTGACATTTCAGTTTTTCACCAAGTGTCGAGCCACGTAGACGACAGACAGGTATTATTGTGACATATATGATGCTAAGTAAGCGAATTTTGGATAGATTTTTTACAATAAAAGTGTTGTATAGAGTTTTATTATCGATATACTTCTAATACATCTTACATACAAAATTAATCATAAATTTTAATAAATATCTTATAACTCGGTTCTATTTCCATCATAAAATTCGTTTTAAAAAGTTCTTTAAAATAGGATCCATTTATAATATATTAATTTATTTATAAAATAATAGAGCATAGGCTAAAAATAAGCTTTAATTAGTAATATAATTTTAGTCAATGTCCAAAAAAAAAAAAGGTTCTATAAATATAATTTAAGTTCAAAAAATTTAATTTCAAGTTAATAATATCATAGATATCTATTTACATTAATCAGTAAAAATAATTTAGTCAATGTCAAAAATAAAGAAATATAAGTTATACAAAAATAATTTAAGTTCGATAAAAATAATTTCAAGTTAATAATATCATAGATATCTATTTACAAACAAAACTACAAAAAGTACACTATTATATAAATAAGCAATATGATATCGTATGTTTAAATATATTGCTTATCAAAAGGGATTATATAATCGTATTTAACATTCAAGCCAAAACATTTAACCTAAAATTTTATCAATAGTACAATTTGGGCATCGACTGGGCACAAAACTAGTAACTAATATATAAAGCTAAACTTTTAGCCATACCACGAGACATCGACACTTGGTGTTCCAACTTTTCGCAAGTGTCGCGCCACATTGGCGACAAATAAATATTATTTTGACATTTAGGATTTATTTGAATATATTTTTTTGTGAATAGGATAAAAAAAGTTGGATAGATTTAGTAAGATAAATGGTTATTTTAGTGTTTTATTTTCAATAAAATATAGATTTAGTAGGATTAAAAAAGTTTATTTAGAGTTTTATTTTCAATAAAACTTTTGGTTTAGAATGTTACTAGATGAAGCCCGTGCGATGTACAGTTTATTTGTATTTCTTAAAACAAATAATTTTTTTGTATGTATGTGATTAAATTTGTTATTTTATTCGTTGTATGTAGTTATCATTTGATATTTTTATTTTAAAATAAATTGTGAGTTTATATTTTAATAAAATTCATAATCATACAAAATAATCTTTTATATTTAATTGAATTAAACTTTAAAATCTCATTCGTCAGTTTTGCTTATGTGGTATTTGGATTATGTATTTTTAAAAAAAAATAACAAATCTATTATGTGATTGGCTATAACTAAAAATTATAATCCTACATGGCGCGTTAAGAAAATTTTATTTTACGTGACTCTCTAAAAACTCGGGAAAAAATTTCCCTTTATATATTCAGCTTTTCAATAAAATACCAATATTTCTATATAAATGACGAATCCAGAGAGGTACAAAAGGGGGAAAAAAAAATTCAAAGAGAACTGTTATTATATATAATCGTTCTCTTAAGTCTTAACATGCAACTAGCCTTTCCTTAGGTGTTCAGAGAAAATAAAAGTGATCACAGCTTTAGACAACCGTTCTTTTTGGTTGTACATTATTACTTCTAATTTTTTTTAGATTGTCAAGTGATTATTAATCCATGAGTAAAAAATTCAAATAACATATATATTTTAGATAAAAAGTTTTATTTAAAAATTAAATAAACAAACCGGACATCGCACGGGCACAAAACTAGTCACTAATAATTAAAGCCGGTCTCGCAGCCAGGCCACGAGACATCGACACTTGGCATTTCAGTTTTTCGCCCAAGTGTCTCTCCATGCCACGTATTAGATAAATAGGTTTATTGTGACACATATGATGCTAAGTAAATGATATTTGGATAGATTTTTTAAGATAAAATTGTTGTATAGAGTTTTATTATCGATAAAATTCTAATATTTGATATATATAAAATTAATCATTACATTTAATAAATATCTTATAACTGGGTTCTATTTCAATCACAAAATTCGTTTTAAAAATTTCTTTAAAATAAGATCTATTTATTATATATGTAATTTATTTTAAAATAATAATTAAGAATCAGTAAAAATAAATTTTAATCAGTAAAAATCATTTAAGTTTGATAAAAATAATTTCAAGTCAATAATAACATAGATATCTATTTACAAACAAAACTACAAAAATTACACTATAATATATAAATAAGCGATATGATATCGTATGTCTAAATATCCTAAATTATCAAAAAGGGTTATATGACCATACATTCAAACCAAAAAGTTTATCCTAAAATTTTATCAACCATCTGGGCATCATCTGGGCATCGTCCGGGCACAAAACTAGTATATATAAAGGGGAGTTTTTTCCCGAGTTTTTACAGAGCCACGTAGGATTAAATTTTCTTAACGCGCCACTTAGGATTATGAATTTTAGTTATAACCAATTAAATAAGAGATTTGTAAAAAAAAATTAGAATAAAATAATTTAAATGCCACATAAGCAAAAATGACGAATGAGATTTCAAAGTTTAAATTGATTAAATAAAAAATATTATCTTTTTGAGATAATGAATTTTATCTACATATATAACGAATGAAAGAAAATTAACAATTTATATATTCTGGTATTCTTGTATTGATCCTAGGTAGATAGTGTTTGTTATTTTTTGTCTGCTTGTAATCTCTGTCATTTGGTAGTTTGTTCAGTTTTTTTTTTTTTTTTTTTTTTTTTTTTGGAAATACCATTTTAGTTCACTAGTTTGTACAGTTAAATTTCGTGAAAGTTGATCTCTGGTTACGCTCCATCTCACCTTTATTTGAAAAGGAAAATAAAAAAGACAAAAGCTTGAGGCTTCAATAAGTTCTTTATGCTACTTACAACTTCGTATCAGAGCTATTAATTGAAAGATCATGAGCTGATGAGCCTTAGAGTGTTCACAGGTTCTGTGTAATCAAACCATCAAGAGCGATTTATCTTTTATCGCAAACAAAAAGTAATGTAAGAGAAACAAAAAATAAATTAGCCACTATCTTCCTAGGATCAATACAAGACTACCGAAAACATGGGAAGATTGTGAGCGTAGTCACAGGAATACATGATATCAAATAATGGAAAACAACATTTCCTAAAATCTCATTACACATCGCATATATATATAAGCTGAAGAAAATCTGAAGCGGAGCAATATAGTTCAGATCGCCAGAACATAATGACTGTTATCTTGTTATGTTTTTTGAAATGGGGGGTTGGAGCCAGTGAGCATGGTAGTCCTGGGTGTAAAATATACAATTGACTTCGCATAATAAGTTACATAACCACCATGATCCTCATGCTTTGTGTTTATAATTATTGCAAGTAATTGATTCTATTTACATAAACTGTGGGCGTTACAGGCATCACAGCAGGATCCTCTATACCTGTACAAAAGTTATATTTGTGTAATTACAGACCAAACTCTCAGAAACTAAACAGTAGTTTCATCATATATCAGTAGCTTTATCCAGCCGTTTTTTGAGCTAATAAATTTGAAATTGCACGATAGGAGAACAAAGGAAACTACTTTAGAGAGGGAAGGCTTTTAAACAAAAGAACTCCTAAACTTCCAAGAGCTACAGCCACGACAACAGGGATGGCAATTGATACAGAATCAAATGCGCTGCCTGTTCTGTCATGGTGGGATTTCTCTCCAAAATACTCGTGAAGAAGGCTGCTCAGTGTATCTAACTGATGCATAATTTGGCGTTGCCCTCTTGAAACAAGCATCACCTGTTAAAAAGAAAGCATTAAAAAAGAAGATTGCATTAATGGCAAAACTATAGCACCACACACGGCACACAGTGCAATTCTTTGCATATTCCATCAGGTGAAGTGATTTTTGCTAGCAAAACTACAGTGGGAAAAGAAACTAATTGTTTATTCCCCCCCAACTTCTATTTTTAGGGTAGACGAAGCATTAAAAATTGCCAATTGCAAAATTGACAGATATAAGATTCTGGGTACATCTTATGGCAGAGGACTGGAGACAAATTAAACTACCAAGTCATAATATGATGTAGATATTTCCAGGTGAATCACAATGGAAGCCATTACTAAACTCCATTACAATGTGAAAATCTGGTATTCTATTTTCAGTCAGTCAAAAACTGATTGTCCAAATTGTCCACTATCCCACAATGTTATTAGTGATAATGGTTTATTTCTACCCAAAAATTTTGCATCGGTTCTGAAGTTAAGAAAAATCTAATATGTTCAATGTGTTCTCATGACATGCTCTAAAGATATATATATAGCTGAGGCATGAGAACCAGAAAACCTGGCACTTTCTCTCCACTCAATTACTGATGTGGATTTAAACCCCTTAACTTAATAAAGAATCTAAAATCACACAAGTAACACAAGCCCTTCGAATTTCCTAAGAAAATCGAACAACTTAAGAATAACGAACCGGATATGACTTTGAAAACGACCACTCCTGGAACGAATTCAACGCCTCTCAAATTACCTAGACCACTCCTGGAACTAAGTACTTTGATGAACAAAACTTAGACTACTCCTAGAACTAAGAATTGAACGTTCTAATTATCAAAACAACTCCTTGAATTGAAAACTAGCAAAAGAATTTGTAAGCAATTAAGCAAAACAAACAATAAACTTGTATTGAATTTTCTGGTTTTGGTTGTGTATACAAAGCCACGAAAAATCCCTTATTTATAGACTAAACTAACTATTCCTAAGTCTATTCGAACTAGGAAAAAAAACCCTAGCCTTGATCCCCAAGTATCCTAGATAGAATAGGAAAACCAATTCTAATGGAACTAGGAAACTAGTAATAAGACTAGTTCTAATTAAACTAAAACTTCTTAAAACAATTCCTAATTGACTTAGAAATTATTTTAAACTAAAATAACAGAAATTAAGAAGATTCCTAATTGCTTAAACCAAGAAAAACCCTTTCAAGTGAAAGGTAAAAACTTGCAAGCAAAAACTCTAGAAAAAACTAAGTTAGGAAAATCTTTCTTTTCGTACTGCCGCCGAACCACCACCTCACGCGCTGCCATCATCGACACGCGCCCCACCGCCGTGTAGCTGGACTCAGGCCGGAGCTAGGGAGCCGGCGCGTGGCACCCAGATCGGCGCGTCGCCGCCGCTGCCGTCGTCGGAACCCAACTGGACCTTGACTTCTTCTTCAATGGCTGCGCATGTTAACCATTCTTGATTCTTTACTCCAAGCTCAAACCCTATTGGCCTTAAAACCAATATGATTGGCTCTTCAAAAGAATTTCCCTCTTGATCCACATCATTCTCCCCCTCTTCAAAAGAATTTGTCCTCAAATTCGCATCATCCATGTAAGGAGAACAATTCCATGAAACCATCCAAATTCGACGAATACAAGCCAAAAGAACTATTACCTCAACGCTAGCAATTTTAAGCAATGTAACAACATCACCACGAGCAAGGCAATATTTTAGAAACAACCAATTCTCAATTTGGTCCTTGGTCTTCGAAGTTGACCATAAGAACACTTTAGGCTTCATGATATTTTTCTCATGTATGACTAACAATTTCTTCTCTTTATGCATGCCTAATGAATCCACCACTTCTAAAGAAACCATTAAATTATTATCTTGATTCACGAATGGCTCCTCAATAGTATCAAAAACCTTTTCCGACACCACCATTGGTAGATCATTATGAATAATCTGATCTTGAACAACGTCACACACAATTGGAACATCAATTGTTTCACTCACCTTTTCTTCGAGCTCTTTAGCACCTACATGTTCCTCTTCCTTATCCTTTTGACAATCTTCCTCCATCTCTTTAACTTTAACGCGGCATGGAATAATAGTTAAAGGAATAAGTTTGAACCTCTTGTTTCCCACCTTGACCGAATATGTGTTGGCCACACCATCATGTTTAACATGTCGATCAAATTGCCATGGTCTTCCTAAAAGAACGTGACAAGCACTCATAGGAATCACATCGCACCATAATTCTTCCTTGTAATTGCCAATGGAGAAATTCACCAAAGCTTGTTGTTCTACATGAAAACCCATAGAATTATCTAGCCAACCCAACTTATATGGTTTTTCATGATCTCTTGTAGGAAGTTGGAGTTTAGTAACCATCTCTGTAGACGCTACATTGGTACACGAACCACTATCAATGATCACCCTACAAGTTCTATCAACAACTTTGCATCGAGTATGAAACAAACTATCTTGTTGACCTTGAAAAATAATTTCTTCATGTAAATTCAGTCGCTCCATAAGCATATGTTTGTTACCAAAGCCAAAATCTACGTTATCATCTTCATGTTTTTTCTTCTTTTTATGACCTTGAAGTAACTTTGCAAATTCATCCATAGATTTTCGGATCCCTTCCTCCATAATTATGTGAAAAAAACAGAAATAAAAGAACCCTTATCCACACAGGTATATCCCACAAAAATCGCAACACAACTTGGAACAAAATCGCACACAACGAGCAGTAAGTATTAAATCGGACCAAAACTGACACAGTTGCGGAAAACAGTCCAGTTTAATAGCAAACGAACTCGAAAAATTCCGAAATTTCACAGGCAGAAATTAGACAAAATTTCACCCAAAATCAAAAAAAGAATCACCTGAAAAGACCTTGTAACGAAGGAGAACGAGCCTTCTGAAGTTGACAGAAAAACTGGTTATCCGAGAACAAGTGCGATTTGATGAACGAATTGTTGAACGATCAAAACCCCTGAAATCTGATACCAATTTGATGTGGTATCACACAAGCTCTGATACCAATTTGATGTGGATTTAAACCCCTTAACTTAATAAAGAATCTAAAATCACACAAGTAACACAAGCCCTTCGAATTTCCTAAGAAAATCGAACAACTTAAGAATAACGAACCGGATATGACTTTGAAAACGACCACTCCTGGAACGAATTCAACGCCTCTCAAATTACCTAGACCACTCCTGGAACTAAGTACTTTGATGAACAAAACTTAGACTACTCCTAGAACTAAGAATTGAACGTTCTAATTATCAAAACAACTCCTTGAATTGAAAACTAGCAAAAGAATTTGTAAGCAATTAAGCAAAACAAACAATAAACTTGTATTGAATTTTCTGGTTTTGGTTGTGTATACAAAGCCACGAAAAATCCCTTATTTATAGACTAAACTAACTATTCCTAAGTCTATTCGAACTAGGAAAAAAAACCCTAGCCTTGATCCCCAAGTATCCTAGATAGAATAGGAAAACCAATTCTAATGGAACTAGGAAACTAGTAATAAGACTAGTTCTAATTAAACTAAAACTTCTTAAAACAATTCCTAATTGACTTAGAAATTATTTTAAACTAAAATAACAGAAATTAAGAAGATTCCTAATTGCTTAAACCAAGAAAAACCCTTTCAAGTGAAAGGTAAAAACTTGCAAGCAAAAACTCTAGAAAAAACTAAGTTAGGAAAATCTTTCTTTTCGTACTGCCGCCGAACCACCACCTCACGCGCTGCCATCATCGACACGCGCCCCACCGCCGTGTAGCTGGACTCAGGCCGGAGCTAGGGAGCCGGCGCGTGGCACCCAGATCGGCGCGTCGCCGCCGCTGCCGTCGTCGGAACCCAACTGGACCTTGACTTCTTCTTCAATGGCTGCGCATGTTAACCATTCTTGATTCTTTACTCCAAGCTCAAACCCTATTGGCCTTAAAACCAATATGATTGGCTCTTCAAAAGAATTTCCCTCTTGATCCACATCATTCTCCCCCTCTTCAAAAGAATTTGTCCTCAAATTCGCATCATCCATGTAAGGAGAACAATTCCATGAAACCATCCAAATTCGACGAATACAAGCCAAAAGAACTATTACCTCAACGCTAGCAATTTTAAGCAATGTAACAACATCACCACGAGCAAGGCAATATTTTAGAAACAACCAATTCTCAATTTGGTCCTTGGTCTTCGAAGTTGACCATAAGAACACTTTAGGCTTCATGATATTTTTCTCATGTATGACTAACAATTTCTTCTCTTTATGCATGCCTAATGAATCCACCACTTCTAAAGAAACCATTAAATTATTATCTTGATTCACGAATGGCTCCTCAATAGTATCAAAAACCTTTTCCGACACCACCATTGGTAGATCATTATGAATAATCTGATCTTGAACAACGTCACACACAATTGGAACATCAATTGTTTCACTCACCTTTTCTTCGAGCTCTTTAGCACCTACATGTTCCTCTTCCTTATCCTTTTGACAATCTTCCTCCATCTCTTTAACTTTAACGCGGCATGGAATAATAGTTAAAGGAATAAGTTTGAACCTCTTGTTTCCCACCTTGACCGAATATGTGTTGGCCACACCATCATGTTTAACATGTCGATCAAATTGCCATGGTCTTCCTAAAAGAACGTGACAAGCACTCATAGGAATCACATCGCACCATAATTCTTCCTTGTAATTGCCAATGGAGAAATTCACCAAAGCTTGTTGTTCTACATGAAAACCCATAGAATTATCTAGCCAACCCAACTTATATGGTTTTTCATGATCTCTTGTAGGAAGTTGGAGTTTAGTAACCATCTCTGTAGACGCTACATTGGTACACGAACCACTATCAATGATCACCCTACAAGTTCTATCAACAACTTTGCATCGAGTATGAAACAAACTATCTTGTTGACCTTGAAAAATAATTTCTTCATGTAAATTCAGTCGCTCCATAAGCATATGTTTGTTACCAAAGCCAAAATCTACGTTATCATCTTCATGTTTTTTCTTCTTTTTATGACCTTGAAGTAACTTTGCAAATTCATCCATAGATTTTCGGATCCCTTCCTCCATAATTATGTGAAAAAAACAGAAATAAAAGAACCCTTATCCACACAGGTATATCCCACAAAAATCGCAACACAACTTGGAACAAAATCGCACACAACGAGCAGTAAGTATTAAATCGGACCAAAACTGACACAGTTGCGGAAAACAGTCCAGTTTAATAGCAAACGAACTCGAAAAATTCCGAAATTTCACAGGCAGAAATTAGACAAAATTTCACCCAAAATCAAAAAAAGAATCACCTGAAAAGACCTTGTAACGAAGGAGAACGAGCCTTCTGAAGTTGACAGAAAAACTGGTTATCCGAGAACAAGTGCGATTTGATGAACGAATTGTTGAACGATCAAAACCCCTGAAATCTGATACCAATTTGATGTGGTATCACACAAGCTCTGATACCAATTTGATGTGGATTTAAACCCCTTAACTTAATAAAGAATCTAAAATCACACAAGTAACACAAGCCCTTCGAATTTCCTAAGAAAATCGAACAACTTAAGAATAACGAACCGGATATGACTTTGAAAACGACCACTCCTGGAACGAATTCAACGCCTCTCAAATTACCTAGACCACTCCTGGAACTAAGTACTTTGATGAACAAAACTTAGACTACTCCTAGAACTAAGAATTGAACGTTCTAATTATCAAAACAACTCCTTGAATTGAAAACTAGCAAAAGAATTTGTAAGCAATTAAGCAAAACAAACAATAAACTTGTATTGAATTTTCTGGTTTTGGTTGTGTATACAAAGCCACGAAAAATCCCTTATTTATAGACTAAACTAACTATTCCTAAGTCTATTCGAACTAGGAAAAAAAACCCTAGCCTTGATCCCCAAGTATCCTAGATAGAATAGGAAAACCAATTCTAATGGAACTAGGAAACTAGTAATAAGACTAGTTCTAATTAAACTAAAACTTCTTAAAACAATTCCTAATTGACTTAGAAATTATTTTAAACTAAAATAACAGAAATTAAGAAGATTCCTAATTGCTTAAACCAAGAAAAACCCTTTCAAGTGAAAGGTAAAAACTTGCAAGCAAAAACTCTAGAAAAAACTAAGTTAGGAAAATCTTTCTTTTCGTACTGCCGCCGAACCACCACCTCACGCGCTGCCATCATCGACACGCGCCCCACCGCCGTGTAGCTGGACTCAGGCCGGAGCTAGGGAGCCGGCGCGTGGCACCCAGATCGGCGCGTCGCCGCCGCTGCCGTCGTCGGAACCCAACTGGACCTTGACTTCTTCTTCAATGGCTGCGCATGTTAACCATTCTTGATTCTTTACTCCAAGCTCAAACCCTATTGGCCTTAAAACCAATATGATTGGCTCTTCAAAAGAATTTCCCTCTTGATCCACATCAATTACTCTAATTACAATCTTATAACCCCTTCGCCCAACATATAATAGTTACTAACACTACAAATGTCACTTTTCTGAAATGATAATTAATTATGCTATTTTTTTCCAAATTATATCCTCCCTCGTCTCTTGAGCTCTTTGCAAAATCCCCTGCCTTAGAATGGGTTGCTTTTGACAAAGATAGCAAGACATCAAACGTGTTGTGCAAGGACTATTGGCACCTATCCAGAAGCAATTGAAGAATGTAGGTGACTTAGTAATAAATAGGAGTTATTAACTCACAATAATATTTCCAGAAATAACATTTCATAGTGCAGAGGCTGCCAGGATACTTCATTGAAGAAATTCACCAATAATAAACATCTGTGCCTTCAGATTTGAGCAAGCTCTAAAAAGGATAATTTCTTAAATTCTGGTGGCTTGAACAATGTAAAGTATATGGTCAAACCACATTAAACCTTAATTACAAGTGGATTAGCAATGTGACTCTTTAGCAGACGGAGGGACTTATAACAGGAGTGCAAGTTAACTTCAACCAAAAAACTGAGATTATAAGAGGATTAAAAAATCAAACACAATACCTCTTCAATAACTTGAGAATCCTTGGCCAATTGGGAAGAAGATGAGGAATGAGGTAATGGTCCACCAGTCATTGGACCATTGCTTAATCCACCAGCCATAAGAAGTTGAGGTGTAGAACCATTACAGGCTTCAGACTGTAGAGCCAAGTTTTGTTGACTAGCAGATACCTTCCCAAGGGAAAAATTTGAGTTCAGTGCTTCAATACTAGATTTTAGCTCATCCATTCTCTCATTCAGCGTGGATATCTGCTCTGAGAGATGAGTCACAGCTCCCTGATTGGAAACAATCCATAAGTTCATGAATTAATTAATAACTTAAGTCTTTAGCAATTGTAAAAGCATAGAAAACACACGATCAGACAGTTCTTATGATATTAATGATTACTCTCAATGATGATAAGTTCATTAAAGCACAAGCCTAAAGGTAAAGTAAAAAAATAAGCAAACAAATGTGTAAGCTTTCTTTTTCATTCCTCCATCATATATCTGTAATTCAAACAACTAGTCAAAGACATTACTATATGATATATAGTGCATTAAAGTTATTAGAAGCAGGTTGTACGAACTTGGTTTGCAACGCCAGCGGGTGACTGGGGGACATGTCCATTAAAACTTCTTTCAGCCACATTGAGCCTTGTCATTTTGGACAAATGCTTCTCTCGGTGTGTTGAAAATGAACGTGAAACATTCCTGTCAAATTATAACAAGAGATGTTTCCCATAAGCCCCAAAAACAAATAAAAACAAAGAAAATGAAAAGACAGATGTGATAGAACCTTGACTTGTGATGGGATGGACTATTAGATTCGTTCAGATATTTGACCTTCCAGTCTGCAGAAGCTCGAGAAAGTGCCTCTTTAGGACTGGAAGCTACTTCATCGTCTATGCTGAGCCTTGTCTTCAAATCATCTGGCAAAGCCTGTAGATGATTGGTTGTGTTAAGTAGAGAAATACAAGTTCAAGCAATAAAACTTCAGTTATAAGAAGTAATACCATGACATCATTTACAAGTTTCTCCAGCTGGATTTGTTCAATGTAAGTACGTGAGACATATGAACCATCCAAACCCAGCTGCTCTGCTACAATCTTAATATATGAACGATCTTTTCCTTGAACCTTCAAAAAAAATAAAGTTCTGAAAACACAACTAGAAGCACCCAAATCAACTAAAGGCACATGTGCATGGAACTTTGTCTCATGACATTTTACCACTCGGGTCAAGTAACTAAAGATAACATCACATTGTAGTATCAAAAGTTTTTGACTTCTAATTATGAAATTGATTAGCAGGCCAGTCATCCATTAATAACTGAAAGTACACAACAGAAAAATGGAAGCAAAAGAGGATATAGCTAGCAAGAAAGTTTATATACAAGTTCACATATTAATATGAGATGTCTCCCAAAAATATTATCACTCCCTCCATCCTATATTTAAGGGTTTTTTTTTTTTTTTTTTTTTTTTTTGGACAAGACATCCTATATTTAAGTTAACAGAAGGAGATGGCACCAAAACAGGGCAAGTTTTATTTAAAGTAGAGAGAAAAATTTAACTGATTAGGGTATTCTAACTTATAACGTTGGACGGCAATAGATAGTATGTGATGAAGGGACTAAGACATTGTAATTGGATCTCTCTTGATAGTCGATACGCATAATTACACCGTTATTCTAAAGGTATTTTTGTATGATCATGCTCAATCCTTTATTATGCAGCAATGGGATGATTTAAATATCATATCCTTATACATAAGCATTAAAATCGTAGCAAATGAAAGGATAGCTAAAATGGTAATACCTGGATGTACTTGCGGTTTAGCTGTTCTAGCCAATCAATTTTCACAATAACCTTATCATCAGAGAAAACATGGCTTCTTCTTTTCAGGATAGCTGCAATAGTGTAACCCAAAGCCATCAAACCACCAAGAAGACGGACACTGACTTCAAAACTGATTCTTGGCGATATTATGAAGGGAGTGTCCGTAACCCATTCCTGAAATCAGCAAGTAGAACTACTTGAAGAAGAGGCTCATCTTCACATGCAAACCTCCTACACTCCAAAAATTCCCATAACAGATATAAATAGGTATAGTCATAGTTATCTACCAGTAATTATTATCATCATTAATTATATTCACATGTAAGGTTGTGCAAATCATATCCTAATTGCTTCTAAGAATCTACTCCTAGCCATTGTTTATGGTGCACATTTAATTCTAAAGTGGCCCAGGAAAAGGTCACTTTTGGTTCTTTACTTCTTTGTGTTGTTATAGAAATTACAAGTTATGGAAACTAGCTTCATCACAGCAGAAAATTCCAGAACATGGGCCTTAGAATGCATAGATCAACTTGACTGGGATAACTGGTTTTGGGTTAAGAGTAGTAAAGATTAACAAAACACACACACACACACAAAGACACACACAGCCAGTGTTTCTGGTGCGCATTTAATTCTCAAGTGGCCCAGGAAAAGGTCACTTTTGGTTCTTTGTGTTGTTATAGAAATTACAAGTTATGGCAACTAGCTTCATCACTGCAGAAAATTCCAGAACTGGACCTTAGAATGCATAGATCAACTCAACCGGGATAACTGGTTTTGGGTTAAGAGTATTAAAGACTAACCAAACACACACACACGCATGCACATAACCACACACACACACGTGCCCAATTTTACTTACTATGATTTTTTGTTAGATTTATCATAGTAAGGCTTAAACTCACAGCACAGTCAGGACTCTCAGGAGACATACAGAGAAAATGCATCTGAAATGAATTTAACAGCAGTCAAGGGACAAGAAAGTGATTAAAAGAAGGCCCAAAACCTCAAACATAAGATTGTATTTTCCATCCCTGTTCCTCATTCTCAGGTATGACTGGCAAGCTTCAGGATCTTCACCAGGTGGTAGAAGGTAAATATCATACGTTTCCTCCTTAGTTTCCTTGTGTTCCTCTGACATCACTGATTTGATTTGCTCATCCTTCACAATCTTTGTTGACTACAACAAGAGAAATCTCTCAGTACTAAAGATAAGATGAAACATCAGTGTTATGTATCTGAAAATAATCAACATGGTAACTGGACCAAAACAGAAGCGAACAACGAGCAGTCAACCTTCAAAATATATGTGGGGTTCTGAAAGCCAGTAAAAGGATTAAATTTGTTGACAATCTTTATATGAGCTGTTCGAAGATCAGGCTCAATAAACGCCTTATACATAGGATACACCTGCCATAGTGAACCACGATCAACTTTCACAGTACATAAAAATGTTTCAAAACAAACATGTAGTATTACACAAAAACTTTAATATCAAACAAAAGGAACAATAACAAACTGTTTCAGAGATCTGATGAATTATTTCTTCAGGATCCTGCCCAGCACGCTGAATGTCCCGTAAAACACGTTTCACTAAGTCAAAATGTACTCCGCCAGTAATAGACACACGAAGATCCAGGAAAGGCCTCAACTTCTCACTTAATGCATAAATACCCTCGATGATTACTATACGAGAGCTGGGTACCTCAACTGTTCTGCAAAATAACCAAATGTTAAGCAAAGAGACCTAGAAGGAAAAGTAATTTATATATCATGACAAATCAAATTCAGTGCAAGTTGCCAAGAATTATAATTTGACAGTTTTCACTATACACATCCCAGAAATAATAAGCCAAAGTAAGAGGAGGAATGAAGCCAAAATTTGAATCATGCAGTTCTTCACTTTGTTAGGTTTCAAGTTTTTATTGGTATAAGATAAGATGAAGGAAGATGTCAAACAAGCTTTGCAAAAATTAAAACTGGAACAGCAACAGAACTTTGAAAATTCCTCTAGATGTGTGACAAAGTGCTTACAGAAAAAATGCCTACAGCTTTCTCAGTGATATTCTTAAGTTTGCAAAGATGCCACCAGTATCATAGATGCTTGGCATATTGATCCACAGGATAAAGGTGATCTCCTAAGTTACAATTATAGAGGTAGCACACAACTCACTCTCACAAACCATAGAAACATGGGAATGGATGATTGAGATAAGAATGAGGGGACACATCTATCTCAGCACCTTACATAGTGCTACAGAATCAAACTACACATCCATCTCTATTCTGAAAAGGCTTGTGATGGAGCACTTAGATTTTATTGAGGTATTCCCAGGCTAGAGAGAATGCAAAGTCAGGATATCGAATAGCTCTTTTGGTGCCAGGCTACATCAAGGATCAACTTTGTGTCCTTTCCTATCTTCTACAATTTTAAGAAAAATTCTTTTCCATCAGTCTTTTGAAGAAATTTAAGCATATGTACAAATATTTATGTTCCATAAATATATTTACACAAAATGTTTCATACATCTAAACCTCCCAAGACTTTTCATGCAGTTTGCAGAGAATACTGTGGAATGCCCTAAAGCAGAAGCGTATTGTTGTGTCTCCCAAAAAGGTCATAATTGACACAATACAGATTTATCAAAGTTTGATGCAGAATAGCTCCTTGCAAAATTTCAGTTCAGTGAGCCAAGAAACTGATATGTCTCAGCTGGCCCAACAATTGCACATGACATATGGTTACTATTTTTATTAACTCTGTGTATGCAATATTTGAACATTTTCTTAGCTGCAGAGCTTTTATGTTAACACAAAGAAGGACCATGCATATCTGTTGTAGAGTACAGCAGCTATGGGAAATATATGTGACAGGCTTCCTCATCTTTCAACTTTCAATCTAATCAAATGGAAGTTGGCTATATAGTAGAAATGTTAGCAGAGAAGAAAACAACAAGATGCCAACCTGTAGCCCGTGCGAGAGCTAGACTTGAAATCATATATTGGGACCTCAATAGGCTGACCTGCTCTCAGATCTTGTATATTTTGAAGCAGTGTGTCGTAATCTGTCAACCGTGGATCTGGTTCAGGATAGATATATTGTTAGCACCAGATTTCATATGTATAAGTGAGAAATATCAAGTTTTACTAAAATGAAATTTTTTATCAAAATACCCACAGCCAGGGAAACAAGTGTAGCAAAAAAAAAATACTCTCCCACCCACCCCCCTCAACTTCTGAAAAAGGGAGGGTTGAAGGAAAGACGCACGCACCCACACGCCCGCCCACACGCACACGCATGCACGCACGCACGCCCACACACACACACACACACAAAGGTCCTCTCATAACTCAATTGTTTCATCTTGATAATAAGCATGCAAGTCCACAAGACCTATTTGTGCACCAAGGTCCAACATAATCATGCATAGGATTTATAGGTTTGAAATTTGTGACAAGACATCAAAAAACGGATGATATATGCAAGAGTCATACTGAAACTTTTTGTTCCCTACAATTTCATTTTGTTCCCCATAAAATGCTCAACGCTCATATATAAGCATGGCATGAAAGTATAGCATTTCAAAAGCAGTGAAAATCTCCAAAAGAAGCCAAGTTTAATACTCTAAACGTATTAGCAATATGCATTGTGTGTATGGTTTTAATAAATCCATGCTCTCGAGTAGAATAAAACAATACACATGAAAATTATTTTATTAGCCAACATGGAGTGCTCAAAAATCAGATCAAGAGAGGATAGATTTGAGGCCAGACCATCAAAATTCCCATCAATGATTCGGCTGGAGTCATTATAGTTGTCCATTGATATAACAGCAATACTAGGCATAAAGTTGAGCATCTTTTCAGTAAACACAGTCTTCCCTGCACCTGAAGGACCAGCAACTCCAACTAATATTATTCCTTCATTATTCTGGGCTAACAACTGACAAGCACGGATCACAACAAAAAATCCCTTCTCAAATTTTAAATGGGCGTCAATTGGGACAATCTCATAGCGATCGGAGTCCTTTCTCTTCACTAACTGGACTTGATCCCTCAAGAGGTTAGACCGCGGCCGAGGTGATTCAAATCCATTTGCAGCATTTTCACCCATATCGGCTGTGAACAAACTGAAAAAATCATAGAGATTAGACTGGCAATCAATTAATCACAATGCTCGTTACCTAAAAGGCTCTCAAATATTTAAGTTAGTATACATTTCTGTCAGCAATGAGTTCATATGCTGCCACCTTCAATTTAGTCAGTAATGACAAAGGTCATATATAAATGCATTGTTAAGTGTATGAAAGCTTATAGTATCTGTGATCAAGTTCCAACTTGCAAGATATAATATAACAATTTTATGGATGATGACACTGCATGTCTTAGTGTTACTACTTAGAAGCACTACTTCTGAGTTAGAATCAATAAATAGAAGAATAATATAATATCTCCTGGAAATTACACTATACCGCGTTTTGCCAGAATATTATTCATCTAAACAGCCTACATAAAATCAAAAAAGTCTCCTCATAAACAGATTGAACACCATCAGCCCCCCTTTACTGGTAAAGCCCTTCAACCTCTATTCTAAGTTCATCCACCCCTATCCCCTAATGTCTCCTCCCCTAGCAACTCTCCTCTCTCTCGTCTACCCTGAATCGTCTCCTTCTGCCGTGAACTTTCCATATCTCATCTAATACCATAATCCTCTTCCTCGTTTTTCATATCCCCTCTTCATCTTTGTCCCTCATTCTATGGATGATCTCAATCACTTGAATTTCAAGATTTCCCCCAAAATTTGCAAAATTTTCGCCTCATAACATAGCTTAAGCAAGGTTTTATTACTATCATAAACTAGAAACAATAATCTAATTCAATTCAGTACTCTTACAATTACCATCAAAAAGAAACAAATGAATCAAATAGTAACCACAACAGAATCAAAATTCAAGTAACAAAAACCATTAACAAGTACCCAGTAATCTTAATAATGAAATAATCGCGACTGATAATACAAAAATTAAATAAGCAATGAAAAATTAAATGAATTGCAGTATACCACAAACTTAGAACACACCCAGAAAACAAAACTCCTAAATAAGAGATAATGATCATGAAACACTCAAAAAAATCAAACATATAAAGATCATTGAACTGGGGTTGCGATACCTTGGAATTAATGTGTAGATTCGGATTAAGAAGATGATTGAATTGAAGGAATTGTGTGTGAAGGAAGTTGACAAGTTGTTAGAATTAATAAAGATGTTCTAGATTATATGAATAATCGTCCACTACACAAGTCAACAGTGGTCTACGTGCTTCAGACCTTCGGTGGTGGTGGACCGTAACAATTTAAGATACTCTTCCATATTCCTCCGTTCTCTTAATATTGTAATTTTTGGGGTTGAGGGAGCCCCAATTAATTAGTTAATCTTGATGATAAACCAAAAAAAATCGTTTAAATACCAATAGATAAACACTTTTTTTTTTGTTTACCTTGAAAATAAACTTGTATTTTCTCTTTGAAGTTTATCCATTTAGTTAAACTAGTATTTATCTTTTATTCCTTTCAAAAAAAAAAAAAAAGTATTTATCTTTTGTTAAAAAAAATAAATAAATAAAAAACTCCGTCGAAAGAAAGTCGTCTCTCCGCCGCGAGCGACTTTTCTCCATGACGACTGCCTTGGCTCCGGTGATGGCCGGCGACCTGATACAGAAATGCTCGACCCTTCGACTTGATGACGATGAAGGAGGGTTGATTGATTTAGGAGACATAGAATGCGAAAATTCGAACGAAAACATTGACCTGCTATTAATTGGGCGATTATGCACAACTCGTCCATATAATGTTGAAGCCTTCAAAAGAAGAATGATGAAAGTCTGAGCTCCGACTAATGATCTTGTGATTAGGGTTATTAGCCCTAATTTGTATGCCTTCCAATTCTTCCATTGGAAGGATAAAGAGAAGATTTTAGAGGGCATAGCGTGGTGCTGGGAGAATAATTTGTTAGTCTTGAATGAAATTGAAGGCAATGAACAGCTTGACCGAGTGAGTTTAACTCATTCCCCTTTCTGGATCAGAGTCATGAATTTACCATTCAATTAGAATTTTGTATGCATTGAGCTATTAGTGCAGTAAGAACATATTGAAAACTTGTAGATTGTTTTTGTCTTTATTAACTCTTAACTAACTCTTGTTTTTGTCTTTATTAACTAACTCTACGATATTAGTGCAGTAAGGATCACTTAACTAACTGTTGTTTTCTTTTCATTTGTTCTATTTCTTATTTAGGATCAGTAATCATCTTTGCTTATAAGTTTGTGAAAAACTATGCACAATGTAGTTTTAGGGATCATGCGGATGAGGTCAATTGCTGGAGGTTGGATTATGAAAATGCTTTCAGAAGTTTTATGTACAGATGCTAGCCTGCTAGGTACGGGATTCTTTGGCTAAAAATTTATTTTGAAATTCAATTTGCTGTCGTTTTTTTCCCTATGGAAGTAGCTGGATTATTGGAGTGCAGCTTTGGATAATTGAAGTTGATATCATGATATTCCGGTTGATTTAGTGTTGTTGATGGTAAATTAGTTGGATATGGAAGATTTTGTGCGTGTTTGTGCTAATATAAATCTTTGAAGTCTTTCAGAATGAAATTACGAGTAATTAAAATAGCACTAGGATATTACTTTTATCACATTAGTGTATAAGGTCATTAGCTAAGAATTTTACAAATGATAAACTTTTATTGTTCAATTCAGCTCCCTTGAGGATATTTGACATGTTTTGCCGTTATGAGTAATAATGCATTATTAGTAGCATAATCTAGCTTTTGTGGCTCCTCTAGTGATGATTATTAGTGCACTGTATGTGACTAAAATTAGTAAGGAAGCGGTTAAAGGCATTAAAGGTAGAGTAGGTTACACTAATGCTTTTGGGGTTGCTAGTAGGGGTAAAGCAGGGGGTTTACGTTTATTTTGGAATGAAGAAGATGTCGATTTCACTCTTATGTCTTTTTCTCAAAACCATATATGCGGTGATGTTGTTAAAAACAATGAGAGGTGGAGATTTGTGGGCATTTATGGGTGGCCGCAGTCGGGTAACAAGCACCAAACATGGAAGTTAATTCATCATTTATGTGAAGATGCATCAAACCTGATTGTTTTTGGGGGAGATTTTAATGAAATTTTATCTTGCAATGAGTTTGAAGAGGGTGTAGGCTGAGAGAGGAGGGAGATTGAAGGGTTTTGTGGGGTGATGGATGCATATGAGCTTCATGATCTCGGGTTTAAAGGGCAATGGTGGACTTGGGAACGAGGGAGAACGGTGAGAACTAGGGTCTGAGAAAGGCTGGACCGTTTCCTTGCCTCTCCTTCTTAGCTTCGTCTTTATCCAAGAGCTTCAGTTGAGCACCTCTTGAAGTTTTGTTCTGATCATGCCCCAATTGTGCTTTGTTTGACCCCCAAAGCTAGGAAAAGGCGCAAAAGAACCAAGTGTTTCAAGTTCGAAACTGCTTGGCTGTTTGATGACTCGTGTGAGGTACTTATGAGGAAAGCATGGCAATCGGCTAGTGAGAAAGATGTCTTAGGGAAGATTGGTGCGACTAGCAGTAGCTTGACAGTTTGGAGCAAAGAAAAATTCGATGGTGTAGAGTCCTGATTGTGTCTCCCCAAAAACCAAACCCAGTGATGAGTACCTTTCACGTCTTTGATTATCGAGTTAGGCGAAGAGTTGAAGAGTCTCATGAATTCCCCTTAAGCCTTGACCATTTCTAACCTTTCCTTAAATGTTTTAAGCCAAAATCATTTATTTCGTGCCTTTAAACCCAAAATCATTCATTTTGTGTCCTTAAAGTCATTCATTTCGTGTCCTTTTTAAAAAAACGTCCAAACCAGTTTATTTTGTTCCATAATCTGGGTCCAATAATTGTGAAGTTGGATGATGCTTGAAAAGAGCTTTCCAACGATGTATTATAAGCCAAAATCCGACTTGAAACGAATAAGTTATGACCAATATACTAAATCAAGCCCAAACCGGACTTAGGTCCATCTTACCTACGACCAATGATCATGTGGAGGGCCCATTAACCTTAATCCCAATCCTAAACCAATTAGGATTTATTAGGATCTTCTAGAGGTCTCTAGAAGGTTCTAATTTATCCTTTTTGAAAGATAAAGATCAAAGAGTTTGAAATTGAATAAAACTCCTTTTTTTGAAAGTCCTAATCTCGTTCGAGTTTAAAGATGTTCAGATATGATTTCTTGCCTCACAATTTTTATCCTAATCTTAGATGGTTGGATAGCCCTTGAAATTATCTTTCCAATGATATATTATAATACCAATTCCGAGCTATAACGAAAAAGATATGAATGAAATACCAAACTCTATCCAAAACTGACACCGTTTTACTATTTCGGCCATATCTTTTATTCTACAAAAGATTTTAATCTGATTTTAATTGGGTTTGAAAGTAGACTTCCAGAGCTTTCCTACAACATATTATTCCAGTTTCTGGATCAAAAGTTATGATAAAAACAAAAACAGCAAAAATTGTTTTTTATCGCGCCGCGATGGACTCTGTCGTGTCGCGATATTTCTATCGCAGCGCGATAAAAGGAGTTTTATTCCAATTCGAATTCCGACTCTTTTCTAATCCTTCGACTCTCTTTTTTCCTTATAAATAGAGGTCATGTTACCCCGTTTTCAATCATCAACAAGCTTGATCACCAACAATCATCATCTTAATCTTTCTTTCTAAGCTATAAGATTTTCTCTCTGTCTTTCTTAGCCTTAGCCTAAACACATCACATCACATCATTCGACCGTTGCGAGACTTTAATACTCCAAACCCTTCTCGTAGTTGCCTTCGACCTCGACTTGAAAGGTTGGTAATTCTGAGGGTTTGGTCTCAAATCTCTATTTCAATTATTCTTATTTGATTTATTTGATTTGTTTGATTTATTTCTTTCTTGAAGTTACTAACGTGTGAATTGTTTTAATAGAAAGAGATACGAGGCATCAAAGTGAGTAGATCTACTATCCTTATTCCTTTGATATAGAAATCATGCTTAGAATATTATTTTAATTTCTAGTATCATGTTAGGATGTCTTTATGATTTCTAGTATCATGTTAGGATGTTGATTTTGATTCCCAGTATCATGTTAGGATGCTTAATTAATATTTCTAATGTTATTATGCTTGCTAGTATCATGTTTAGGGTGTTATTCTAATGTTTCTAATATCATGTTGCTTTCTAGTATCATGTTCAGGCCAAAGCTTTGATTTTTATTGTTTAGTGACATGCTAGGATTTGTTATTAATTCGTTTAGTATCATGCCTATGATCTTGCTAATTATACTATTGATGAGATTATGATTATATTTATTATGATGATTGTTGTGTCAATATTAATTATTATGTTGCTTGATTATTCATGATTTATTGTTATTACTTGATCACGCCCTTTTCTACAGGTTTAAAGGGAATTCGTACTTGAATCACGGCTAATAAGATAATTAATAATTTGGTTTAGGTTTAATATGATTTTAATTCAAGTGATCACCAATAATAGGTTTATTTTTGCATTAATAATCAATCAATGTAGATTAAACAGGTTTAGGGCTAACTTGTTGTATGTATGTTGATCGGAAACGTACATGAATATCATAAGAATTAAGTAGAGGCCGATTAAGGGCGGGTTCAATCTCTTTTAGGTTGGATTCGTACCATCATCCCCGAATATCCAGTCATGGTTCTGGACCACTATGGAGTTAGCGATCTCCATGATCGTGAATGGGATGTAACCTTCACACCCGTGAACGGTTTACAAGTTCCTAAAACTTGTTGGAGACTCTTTTGCTCTAACTTCTTTCCCTTTAGACTCCACCATGCTTAAGTGCATGATCATAGTGGGGCTCAAAGTTAAGTGTTGAAATATTCCCTACAGATGGGCTCAAACGTGTTTAGGAGTAAAAGGTGCGAAAAGTAAAGGTGATCTGGTTCCTCCGAAGAGAGGAGTGATCAGGCTAGTTGCGGTGGGCAACCTTGGAAGGAGTGCAATTAACGCTAAGTAAGGTCTAGCAATTAGTATGCACGTGGGGTAATATCTGAATTAGTTAATCTCCATTTAATGGAGGCTAATCATCTGTATTTATAGCCTCGAAGTACGTGCCTAATACTAGGTTAAATGGTAAACCTAGGACTGATTGGGCTTGCCTTGGGATTCGGGCCTTTGACGGCCGTTTTCCAGGTTGGCAGGTTATGGGCCACGTGGCGTGGCTTGATTGGTCCATGTTGGACCTCCTGGAGTATGACACGTGGCAGTCCTTGATTGATCCACGTGGCTCACACGTGGTAGGTGCTGAATGGTCCACGTGGCGGGGAAAAATCCCCTAAAAATTTGCCCCTCA